GTTCAGCGAGCTCGTCCACCGCGCGGTCGTACTCCAGCAGGAACTCGTCCAGCTCGCCCGCGTCCCCGAAGGCGCCCCACTCGGTGTTGACGCACATGCGGCCCTCTTCCCCCTCCACCAGCTCCACGTTGTGCATCTCCTCCATGTAGCAGGCGTTGCAGCCCGTGCCTGGGGGCGGGAGGGGGGGGCGGCAGCGTCGGACCCACGGACCCCCCGGCAGGGGGTGCGCTTCCCCAGCCGCCTCTACTACACGTCCCACCCCTCCCCTCTCTTCACCCTTCCCCATGCTCACCCCACCCCCTCTCCTGGATGCCCCAGCCCGCAGGAAGCCCAGGGCAGCCTTCCCTGCCCCCACCGCTCCCAGGCACACGGCACCTGTCCGCTGTATGGCCGCAGGTGGATGGACCCACCCCTCTGGGCTGTCCCTCTTCCCCACCAGGGAAGGGGAACACCTCCTCCTCCCCTCATCTGGCTGGTTGGGAGGATTGAGAGAAACGTGTCCAATGTGCACAGTAGAGATGGGTGCTGGATGTTACGGTTTTGTCTATGCTCCACCCTTGTTTCCTGGCTTTTTCCATTCATACAGTTAAGCCGCTGTCTTGGGCTCTGTTTGGGGGCGGGGGGAGGGGGGCGCCCTGAGGTAAGACACAGTGTGGGACCGGCTAGGGCAGGCTGGCCCTGGGTACGGTCAGACCTTCCAGGAAGAGATGACACCACTTTGCTTATTCTCTTCCACTTGGACAAATCTGTCTCATTTGGTCAATTTACCAGATAAAGTTTTTAATTAAATCTGATGGGCCAGGTGCAGGTGCGGCAGGCGTGCCATCTGATGCAGTGATGCAGTGTGACTGCTTCCCATCAGGACAGAGCTTGCATGGGGGCGCCCCTGCCCTCCCCAAGCCTGCCCGGGTGCTCAGGCCCCGCACTGACTGTGGCCCTCACTCCTCAGGGCCCGAGGACGAGGCCCCTGGACAGGGCAGGGCACGAGTCCTTACCCACAATCATGCCAACCTCACACTGGCGGTCTTCGTAGTAGCAGGAGATCATTGTGGCCACAGTGTCGTTCACCATCGCTACCACGTCCATCTCAAAGTCCTGCCGAGAGCAGAGAAGGGGTGGGGCTGGGGCTGGGGCTCTCCGTTTAACCTGTCCTGGGCTGGCCCACAAAGGGGGGAGCGGAGACTCTCCCCGAGGGGACCCAGAAGGCCCTCGCTGACATGCTCGCCTGAGGGGGGAGGGGCCAGGGAACAGGTGCCTCCTCACCCCTCTCCGCTTGATGGCGTCTCGCAGGAGCCCCACAATGTTGTTCCCTTCTGCTCCCGAGGCCTTGAAGCCCTTGGTCCAGTTGAGCAGGATGCCCTGTGGGAGGAGGAGGACCTCGGTGGCCGCTGAGGAGGGCCGGGGCAGGTGGGCAGCAGGGAGCTCCCTTGGACCCCAGACCCCACTTAGTGGGTGAGCAGACTGAGGCTCCCATAGTTTTGAGAGGTTTGATGACTACACAACTGCTCATGGTTCTGCAGAGCGGGGTCCCGGCAATTTGAGGATGTTTGTGTAGTAAAGCCCAGAGACGTCCCCCCAGAGTGAGGGCGTGGGTCTGGAGGGGAGCAGCCTGTGTGTGAGCAGGGTTCCTCCCTCCTGGGGTGCACCCACTGCAGACGAAGGAGCCACTGCGCTCAGTGCGCCCTGGGGGCTGGAGAACCTGCGCATGATGTCGCTCCTGCTGCTGCTGTGTGTGAGGTTTCATGTCACAGACGTGTGTGCTTGATGCATGCAAATACATGTAAAGGTAAGGTGTGCACACAACGGATGTGCTGTGTTTGCATGTGTAATTGGCGTGTGCGTCATTGCCAAGCCTAAGGCAGGGTTCGGCCTCCGCCCGCACACCTCAGCCCCAGCACAGGGGTCACCAGTGATGACACCAGCTGCCGGGGAGCCCAGCGCTGCCACTTCCCACCGGGCCGGTCACTGACCTCGGTTCCCTGCCCGGTCGGTAGTGGGGTGTGAACAGGGGATGTTATGGGGAGATCACGGCAAACAGAGAAACCAGCCAGCGTTCGTGCCCACAGTGTCATGGGTGCGGGTAACAGGCAGTTTCCCAACAGGGAGTGTGTCTGAAGGCTGCACGGGTGCCTCTCTCCCAGGTGCATGTCTGTCCCTCCCTCGTCTGTCTGTCTGTCTGTCTGTTGTCCCCTTGCCCAGCCCCTGGGCCCCACCTTGTCGATGTCTTCATGCCTCACGGGAAAGGAGAAGGTGAAGCCCAAGGGCAGCTTCCTGTGCTTCATCTGGTGCTTGTCCAGGAAGTCGGAGATGCACTCGGAGATGTAGTCGAAGAGCTGGAAGCACGCGGCCACAGCGGTGGGCGGCCACAGCCCCGTCCCCTCCACCCAGAGCCTGCGCTGGGCCCCCAGCCCCCGGGGAAGCCCCCAGCCCCCGGGGAAGCCAGCTCCACTGTGCGCAGTCCCTCCACTTATTGGGCCCTGAGCCTCCCCTAGAGCGCTGCCGACGGCTGCCCCAGGACAGGGTGGCTCAGTCATAAAATTCTATGACTTCTGTTTCCTCCAGGTGTCCTGGCCACCCCCCTGAAGCTGTGGAGGACTGGCCCCCGCAGGTGGACAGGTGGGCCCTCACCCAGGTGGGGAGGTGCCCCTCCAGGACTAGAGCCTGAGGCCCCTCTCACCATCTCCGCGGTGCCCGTCATGGCGTCCTCGGGGATGCAGTACATCTGGTGCTTGGTCTTCACGCTCCAGTGGCCGGCCTCCCCCTCCCCCACCTTCACCAGCATCACCCGGAAGTTGGTGCCGCCCAGGTCCAGCGAGAGGAAGTCCCCAACTTCTGCAGCCACAGGGAGAGGAGGAGGGAAGGCAGGAGGCCCAGGAGTACTGGACAAGGGCTGCAATGCCAGAAGTCTGGGGACACCACTTTCAACAGAGGGAAGGGGGTCAAAGGTGAACTGGGAAGTCCATGGGAACCCCCAGCTTTGAACTGAAGTCACCCCCAGTCTAGAGCTCAACTGAAAAACTAGTGAAATGGCCCAGACTCAGGACTGGGGGCGGAGAGGGGGGCAAGTCACCACAGGGAGTACTTCCCCAATGAGATGGGAAGAGCCAGGTCCTAAGGCCACGGTGAGCCTGCAAGCCCAGGTGAGGGTCGGCCTGTCTGGGGCCCAGCCTCCGGAGGCCTGATTCCAGGCTGCTGGGGCCAGAGCCCTTGGAGGGGTCTGGGGACAGCTGCCCCGCGGGCGGCCCCACCCTTGCCCTGCAGTACCTGAGCCTTCGGGGGTGGAGCGTACGTAGGTGGGCAGCATCTTCACGCTGGCCTCCTGGTGAGTCTCCAGCCTCAGGCCACGGTCCATCTCCTTCTGCATCCGCCTCATCACCTTCTTCAGGTCCTCCTCCTGCAGTCGGAACTCCGCCAGGATCTGCTCTGCCTGCACAGGGGAGGGGAAGCCTGGGTACTGGGCACTCCCCACTCACATGAGGGTCTCCTTTGCTCTGGCCCTGGTCCGGGGTGATGACTCAAATCACCACCGTTAAAAACAGCTCAGCAATTAGAGCCTCACGGATGGGCCGGGGTCCAGGGTGAGGGCAGAGGGCAGATGGGGGAGGCGAGGCGGGGAGGAGGCGCTAAGCAGGAGCGCGGGTGAGGCCAGGACAGCCTGTCTGAAGGGCGAGGGGCAGAGGCATTACTGGGTGAGGGACGCAGTCACTCCCGCTCCAGGGCTGACACTAAGGGCGTGAAGGGACGGTGTGCACACTGGCCAGAAGGACAGTCAGGGCAGCTGAAAGCACTGCTGTCCAAAGCGTGGCAGGCTCTGTGGCCATGGGGGTCCCTGTGCACTGACAGGAGCGAGGCCTGTGCAGCCAGTGGCACCTTCCCTGCGAGTGCGATGGCCTGGAGGGGTCTCCTCCTGAACCTCCTGGGGTGTGGCCGGCCCCTCCTGAACCAGCTGCCCGTGCCCATGTGCCCCGTGACTGGACCTTGCTCTTCTCCGCGTGTGGGTGGCTGGCTCCCGCCCACCTTGCACAATAGTGCACCTTCCTGAGAGGAGGCCGCTTGGATTCACTGGCTGTTTGGACCCAAAGGAAAGGAGATACGTGATAAAAGCTGTGGGTCTCCTCCACGAAGGCGCTGGGAATCCAGCCCAGGTAGGGAGTAGCATATGGAAGGAAGGAAGGCCCTCCCCAGGCCCAGGGACCAGCCTGTGATTGGGCTCAGCCAGTGACCGGTGAAGGAAGCCTGGTTTAGCAGGAGAAGGAAGGTCAGTGCCCCCTGAGGCTGTGAATGCAGCTGTCCCACAACCATGAGGAGCCGAGGCGGAGGGAAAGCTGCTAGCAAACCACAGATGGGGGAGAGGAGCGGACACCGCCCCCCCCCCGCCCCCCAGGTGTGGCTATGGGAGGGTTTCCGGTTTCCTGCAGCCCTAACGCAGGAGCCGTGCCGCCTATCAGGACCACAGGACTTCACATGGGGACCCAGGGACGGTCACAGAGGGCGGGCTGACAAAGCACACAAGCAAACACGCAGATTCGAGCACCAGTGTTTGCTGAGCGGGCGCAGCCTGCAGCTCCTGGCACTCAGGAGGCCAGTGTCCTGAGCCCAAGCCTACCACTCTGCCTCCTCTGTCTGTCTTTTTGTTGTGGTGGTTGTTTTTTTTTGTTTTTTTTTTAAATATACTTTATTGATTCCCTACAGAGAGGAAGGGAGAGAGATAGAGAGTCAGAAACATCAATGAGAGAGAAACATCGATCAGCCGCCTCCTGCACATCCCCCACTGGGGATGTGCCCGCAACCCAGGCACATGCCCCCGACCGGAATCGAACCTGGGACCCTTCAGTCCGCAGGCCGACGCTCTATCCACTGAGCCAAACCGGTTTTGGCTGTTGTGGTTGTTGATCCTCACCCGAGGATATTTTTTCCGTTGATTTTTAGAGAATGGAAGGGAGGGAGACAGACAGACATTGGTGTAAGAGAGGCACATTGATTGGTTGCCTCTCGCATGCACCCCAGCTGGCGCTGGGGAGGTACATGCCCTTGATGGGAATTGAACCCTCGACCCTTCAGTCCACATGCCGCCACTCTAACCACAGAGCACCGGCGAGGGCTCCTCTGTCTATCATGCTCTCATAGGGACAATACCCCGGACCCTGAGCTGGGTGCTCCATACAAACTCATACCTGCCTGTGGCCCAGCATGTGGGAGGCCCGGGCCTCTGCCCGCCTCCTAGACCAGGAAAGGCTCAAGAAGCCATGCACCTGCCCCAGGACAGAACTATTCCCAGGGACCAACTAAGCCACTCACGGGCTCTACCCCATGTGACGCAGGTACTGGGAGGCCCTGCCCACAGGCCCCTCTGACCTGAAGCCTGCTCTGACTCAAGGTTCCACTTTCTCCCGGCTCACGCACACCTGCTGGGCCACCAGGTGAGGAGGAAGTAGTTGAACTTTGCAGACCCACCTCCCATGCCCCTGAATTGGTGCAGCCCTTAAGTGCATCCCAATTAACCCTGGAAGGGTGCCAACAGTGACTAATGGAGAGGGTGGTAGGCTAGTTCGGAGTGTGGGTCACTCATTGACTTAATGTCTGAGTCCTTGAGTTGTGCTCCATCTGCGGGTACAAAAGTGACTGAGGTTTAGTCTCCAAGGAGCTTACAATCCTGGAGGAGAGAGCAGACAGCTGTACAGATGGACACCGGACGCTTGCATCCTTGGGGAGCTCAGAAGAGACCAGTGGGGTCACAGAGGCCATGGACAGGGTCCTCAAGATCCTTCCTGCCATCCTGGTGCCGAGGGGTGGCCCGGGAAGAGGGACATTCCCAGAGGGACCGCAGGACAGTGCCAGAGCATTGGCAGAAGTGCAGGGGTTTAGAGTGGCCTGAACTGGATGCAGGCAGAGGGGCTGTGGTCAGCAGTGTTTGGGCTGAAGAGGGCATCTGGGTTGGAGTGCAGACCCTTCCAGATGAGTAACCATGACAACACCAAATACACGAAGTGTGGCTCCCAGCCAGAGCAGGGCTCCCAGGAGCATGCACTCCCTCAAAGGGGCGCAGCAAAATAAATGGGCGTTGGTGAGCAAAGCAGGCTCCCAAGAGGCCAAACCCAACACAACAGAGATAGGGTGCACCCACAAAGACTAGGATAAAAGGATCCTATACAATAGAGGGAATATGCAAATTGACCATCACTCTGTCAAAAAGATGGCTGCGCCCTCAGTGGGGGATGGGGGGGGCGTTCCATAACACAAGATGGCTGCTCCCACAGCGGAGGCCAAGCCTTAAGGAGCCTTAACGAGCAATTAGCAGGGACCTGAGGCCACACCCCCTGCCTATCAGGGCTTGACAAGGGTGGGACCGGCTGGGTCTGGATCTAGCCCAATGTTGGGGGGCTGGCTGGGTCTGGGCACACATGGGTGTGTGGGGACTTGACTCTGGGTGCCGTGGTGTGGTGTACCCCAGACTCTAACAGGAGGAAGATTTTCATATACATTTTACAAATTTTCTTTCATCTCTGACACTTCTAATATAGAGAAAGGGCAAATAGCAATATTAAAATATTTCCTCTAATTAATCCCCTTTTAATGTGCATGAATTTCGTGCACTGGGCCTCTAGTCAAGAATGATAAAAGCCGAAACAGGTCACACAGAAAACACAAGTGAAACAACAGTTAACTCAATGAACAAATCCCACACCCAGTTCTTTAAAAAGACCAATAAAAGAGCAAACACGTGGGCCGACCAAGGATGAAAGACAGCAACAAGCAAAAGGCACAGATATTCACAGATGAAGTGTGACCAGTTTCCTTTCCTCTGGCCCCAGCCCCAGCCTGCGCCCACTGAGAGCTGGAGAGGAAGACACGGCAGGGACACCAGGTAGGGCACCACCGACAGCCAAGGCCAAGAGGCTGGCAGAGGGCAGCTAAGGGCACTGGCCTGGGGCAGCCAGAGTGGCAGCAGATGTCGCGTTTCCTGAGCCTCCAGCCACAGGCTGCTGGCACTCGGACCCCTCTGTGCCCAGGAGTTCGGAGACAGGATGGATGTGGAGGGATAAGAAGCATTTACAAGGCAAGTGGGGGCTGGGGCCTCGAGGGACCCCAGGGACGAGTCTCCCTGCCAATACCTCTCCGTCCCGAGGCTCTAGTGGTGGCTCATGAGTGCCCTTCACTCTGCTGTGGGCCTGGCCTTGGCAGGGAGCTGGGGTGGGGGTGGGCGCTGGGGCACAGGAGGGGCGGGGCCAGCACTTCACATGGCTGGGCACCTGCTGAGTGTACCATGAGCTTCCTTCCCTGTGGGCAGAAGCATGGGCTTGGTTACTGGAAAACTAGAGGTCTGCCCCCAATATTCGTCCTCTCGGTTATAGTTCCTAAGTAAGTAATGGGCGACACATTGGCCAGAAGTTGAGTACAACACTGTGTGTGTGTGTTTAGGAAAACACCCACCACTGCTTTGTAACCAACTGAAATCTCTGCCTGCCCATCAGTGGGCTTCTGGGGGCTGTCTTTTTAATCCTCACCCACGGTCATGGTTATTGATGAGAGAGAGAGAGAGAGAGAGATCCATCAGTTGCCTCCTGTACGTGCCCCAGCTGGGGATGGAGCCCCAGCCTAGGTGTGTGTCCTCCTGGAATGAATCCCTGGACCGTCTGCTGCACCAGGAAACGTTCCTAACGGAGCCCCGGCCAGGGCTGGGCTGTTCTGGCAGCCAGCTGTCACCGGTTCTCACGGCCTTTTCCTTTACCACTTTATGCATTCACGTTTCTCAGTTTGTTCAGGGAACACCACGCCTGCTGGTGAGCCTGGGGGGCTGCAGGGACGGGGAGAAGGGGGTGCTCCCAGGCGTGCCTGACCCGTGTGCCCAGAAAGGGGCCTGGGGTCCACCAGCTGGGACGGCGCTGCTCCAGGCTCTGCTCTGGCCAAATCCAGGAGCCCGTGGGCGGGGCCGCAGGGCACACCTGATGCGTGCGACCCGTTTCCTGGAGCCTGCCTGCGGGTAAACGTCATGGGCAGGGAGGGGCCAGCCGAGGGGGGGTTCTCCGTGTTCTGGAAAGGAGTGTGTCACGGTGGCGTGAAACCCGCTCCCCAATCTCTGCTGCAGGGCTTTCCAGCACTTCGGTCACCGGGCAGCCTTCTGCAGCAGGAGCCCGTGCACCCTCTCCTCTTTCTCTGCTGCCGCCGCCGCAGCCAGGCACACTGCGGGGTCTCACCCACACAGCAGCCGGGGCCTTTTCAGAAGGGACACTGAGGCCGGAGGGACTTTGTTTCCAAAGGCTACTGTGCTGGGAACGCAGGTGCTAGACGTGGAGCCGGGAGCCTTCTCTCCCCTGGGCCGGGTCAGTTCTGCTCTCTGGGGCGCGCGCAAAGGGGCTTCTTTATCTTCTCCCACCCCTTTCCTCCCAGGGGCAGGGGGTGGGGCAGCTGGACCCACCCCGGTCTGTCACCACTGCCGGGTGGATGGTCAGAGGCTGCGGCCTCTGCAGGGGGGCCAGCTCAGCAGGGGGGTGGGTAGATGGGCTTGTGCAGAGCTGGCTGACCTGCTCCTGCCCACGGGAGCTTGTCCCCCACACAGGGTTTTCTCACACTCCCTCCGAGCTCGTCCCAGCACACCTGCTGGCCTTTCCTGCAGAGGCGGGAAGCAGGGCAAGCACAGGGCTTCACCCCATTGCCGAGCCTCCTTCTTCCTGGGGGCAAAGTGCCGGGCAGCCTGAGGGCCAGAACGGAGGGTGGTCAGCTCCTTCCAGGCTACAGACCGAATTGTGTGCCCAAACCCACACCGAGGCCTTAACCCCAATGTGATGGTATTTGCAGGTGGGGCTTTGGGAGGGAATCAGGGTTAGAAGAGGTCATGAGGGTGGGGCCCCGAGAGGAGATTAGTGTCCTATGAGAAGATGGAGAGCTGGCGCCCCTCATTCCCCTCACTGCACTGCCCCCCACCCCCATGAGGACACAGTTGGGAGTTGGCATCTGCAAGCCCGGAAGAGGCCACACCAGGGCTGGCCACTCTGGCCCTGACCTCGGACTCTAGTCCCCAGAGCAGTTACTTCTGCTGCTGCGTCCACAGAATTGGTTATGGTGCCGGAGCCAACTAACACACGGCCAACTGGACATGCTTTGAAGCCCCTGTGTCTCCCAGGCTCCAGGTACTCGTGGGGAGGGTTGGACCAGCAGAAGGGTCCAGTGAGGAGTGGGGGAGTCCAGACCAGGATCGCAAGGGTTCCCCAGGGCCCAGTTTTAGGACAGCATCAGTGGGCGCAGACCTGCCCCCAAGGAGTTCTAGAAACTGTTCGGAGCTGACATCTATGTGGTCAAGCCCTGTGGCCACACAGCTCTATAGGTTATAGAAGGATGACCACAGGTAAGGCCTGGAGGTCAGTACAGGTGAGAAGGACCACAGAAGCGGACGAGAAACCAGCAGCACTTAGGTTCCCTTCAAAGCACAATTTTTTGCATTAAAATAGTATTTATCTTGATGATGGACGCTTTTGTTGCCTCACTGACGCATTTGCCTCACTCTGCTCAGCCGGGACCAGGGTGTCGGTGACCCTCGGCGGCTGCAGGCAGCTTGGCTCCTGGCTGGGACCTGCACCCCTCCCTCGGGAGCAGAGACGGTCTGCCCAGTGGAGCCCCGCGTCCCCTGGACACACAGGAAGAGACAGGGGCCAGCCTGCGTCTGGGAATGGGTTCCCCACAGCAGCCACAGCCCCTCACACTCTTGCCACGCCATCTCCCTGCTCGTCACAAAGACACCCCCCACCCCGTTCCTCCTCAGGTGGCCACTGGGCTGTCTCCAAATCCTGCCAGCATGGGGACCGCGGACAGGGCCTGCCCGCCTGGCTTCCTGCTGGGGCGCCTGCCTGGGCTGGCCGTTTTCTCCTGACATCATCAGCTCTGCCAGCGGCAGAAGCAGCGCCGTTTGTGCTGACCTTGCTGTTTCAGAGGAGGAGGAGGAGGCGTGTAAGGTGAGAATCATGTTGCAGGGAAGGACCAGGCCCCTCCGGGGCCCCCGCTGCACCCCAGCCGGCTGCTTGCCCTGGGGCTGCCCTTCTCCTTGCTCACTACTTGGTCTGGATTTCTCTCTGTTTTGGAAAAAGTAACTGATCTCTGCTCCTCCCCAGGAGGGAACGGCCCTCGGGCTCCCCATGAAGAGATTCCTTCGAGGACGAGGGCGTGTGGGCACCTGAGGCCTGTCATCGTGTCTGCTGAGCACTGTCTCAGGACAGGGCTGCTGGTCTTCCACTAAGACCCCAGGCTCTAAACTCCCCAGACCCCAAACCAACATCAGTCGCTTCCGGACCTCTGGCTGCCTACCTTCTAGGCCGAGGGCTGGAGTCTGGAGCAGGGAGGGGCCTGGTCTGCTGGGAGGAAGGGCCTTTCTGCCCCACACAGTGGGTGCCCCGGACTCCCTCCCTGCAGGGCTTCCCTACAGAGCCTGAGCATCAGTCAGCTTCTGAGCGGCAGGCGCGTGTCTGAGCTAAACCCACCCCTGGGTGCGGGGACCTGGGACAGAGGCGTCCAGAGCAGAGGAGGCACAGCTACCTTTTCCTTCTTGGCGGTCTCCATCCCGGCACCGTCATCCGGCATCCGCACCGCAGCCCGCTTCTGGGCGCTGGGACCCCTCCGCCTTTCCCAACAGTTTTGGGAGCAGGACTGTCCGAGGCTTCTCCCAACCAGGGGCTGGCTGGCCTGGGCGCCTGGGCCACTATGGTCCCCCTCTGGCTGGGTTCTGGCTGGAGCGTCAGTCACAGAGTTTCCTCCTTTTCATCGTTCCCAGCAAGCCCACGAGCCTCGTCTTCAGGGCTACACCCGGGACCCTTCCCCACAGAGGCCTGGTCAGGCCGGGTGTGGCCGGGGCAGGGCCATCGCTGGGCTCCGCTCAGCTCTCAGGCTGTGCTGAGCTGTGCTGCGGCTCGGCCTCCAACAGACTCAGCAGAAAAGCTGCTGTCCCCTCGGTGCTGGGGACAGCATTTGAGCAATTAGGCTGAAGGTGACTGTTTCTCTCACACCCTAACCTGCTTCCCGGAGCTCAGCTGCCACCCAACGCTTCCTGCGGAGACCAGGTGTGCGGTGAATTCTCGGGGGGGGGGGGGCCAGGAGCAGGGCCTCCGCAGGGCTGGCGGCTGGTCATTAGAGCTGCCATGCAGAAAACGGGCTGAAGGCAAAAGGCCTCCATCCCCATCACCATAGCAACAGCCCAACGGTCTTGTCACCAGACTTGGCCACCTGTTCAGCTCCCCAGGCCGGGCCACACCCTAATGAGCAGAGGCCCTGAGAGTCGGGAACCAGAGGAGAGGGAGTGGGCAGCCGAGACGGACTCCCGGGACCCAGCACGCAGACGTCGACGCCTCTTCCCCGCAGCCTTGCGGCCCGGGACCTGCGGACTCGGGGACCAGGCGTGAAGTTACAAGGAATTCCGGGTTCCCTCCGTCCCGACGCTTCCCCCCGGGGAGGGCGTGTGTCCTGAATACGCGTGCCATTTGCCACCAAGGGCTCGAGGGGACTGCCGCCCGCCCTCCGCGGACCGAGCAGCATCTCCACCGCGAAG